CCCCGGTGGACAAGTGGCCGGTCCCCAGCCCGACCTCGCCGCCTACCCCGCGCCTGCGGCCGGGGCGGAGCCACAGAAGTTCGCCTCGACACTCCTCAACTCCCCAGCCCAGCTCCATTCTATTTAGAACTTTTGCCAGCTTCCCCACCCCCACTGTGCACCGTAGGATGTTTGACGACATCCCTGGTGCCCGAGCCACAAGATGCCACTAGCACCCTCCACCCAGTTGTGACAATGGAAAGTGTCTCCAGATAATGTCAAGAATTCCCTGGAGGACAGAATTGCCCCTGGTTGAGAACCACTGGGTAAAGGGCTTTGTATCTCTTCCTGTTTTAGTTAGGATGTGAAAGGTTTCTTTTGCACATAACAAAATATCCTTGCATTTATGTATGTTGTAATCCATGCTGAATTTTCAGGGTTGAAAAATACCGTCCACAGACACTGGATGATCTCATTTCTCATCAGGACATCTTGAGCACCAGTAAGTATCCATGTGTCAATTGCTGTTATCCTAGTTGAACAACCTGTGTAAATGTCTTAGGACTGTTGTCTCTGTTGCATAACAACTTTGAAGATAAGCTTTATGGGATGTGGCTTTAATAGTTGAGTCCTACAGCTTTTTCATTCCTGCATCTGCCTCTTGATTTGAACATAGGGTTGAAATGCCTTCAGCCCAACTCAAGGGCCCACAGTGAATGAGGTGACTTTCAGAGACTGATGGCGTCTCTCTTTTTCCCCAACGTTCAGTTCAGAAGTTTATCAGTGAGGACCGCCTGCCACACCTGCTTCTCTATGGTCCTCCTGGGACAGGAAAGACATCCACCATCCTAGCCTGTGCTAAACAGCTATACAAAGATAAGGAATTCGGCTCCATGGTCTTGGAGGTAAATGGGAGGGTTATTCCTGCTCTCAAAGGACTCCAGTCTCCTGCTTTTAGTTCTGCTAGTTTTGTTTTACTTTACAAGTTAGTTGCCCTGCTGGTTGTTGGTGGCTGGGAAAGAAGCAGACATAGAATATCTTAATTCACTGTTTTCTATAATTGACATTTTGGCTTGGGTTGGTGTTAGCTACAGGACTGCGGTAGGGCTAGGTTATCTTTTCTGCCATTGCCAACTTTCACCCAACACTCAGTGGTCTCTTGGTTGCTGGCTCTCTCCATGGGCCCCCTTCTCCATGTTACTCCACTCAGAAGGCTGAGCTGTTGATTACAGCCTCCTTTGCCCTCTGGCTTCTGGTTAGGTTTGGCCCTGGTTAGGAGGGGCCCTGGCAGGCAATGGGGAAAGGAGAATGATGCCCACTCCCACCCTGGGGGTCAGCACAGTCTGACAGCATCCTCACTACAGGGCGCACCACACAGCCTTCTCCAGGGGCCAGCACCACTCTCCCACCCACCCTTTAAGACTTGGGGGTGGTAATGGGCCCCAGTAGCCCCTGAGGTATTGCATAGCCCTTGTGGTTTCCCCACACCCCACCAGCACTTTTGAAAATATCTCTTCATTTAATTCTCTTCCAATTACTGCATTTGAGTGTGCCATCTGTTTACCGCTGGGACTTGACTGATGCACTTAGATTATGAAATTATACATACTGTCTATTGTAAGGAAAAAATGCTTATTTTTTTTGTTATAGATCTTAGAACCTTGCTGCCACCAGTATTCTTACTTCAGTGTACTAAAAACTAGGTAACTTCTGGGTTGCTCTGGGATGTGGTAGCTAAAATTAGCATCATTCTGCTCGTGCCAGAGGTGCTGTTCACTGTGACCAGGCCAATTAATTATTCCTCCAGAGTGTGTCCGTGATTGTCCTCAGAAAGGGGAGGAAAGACAGTCATATGCCTTTCAAAATATAATATAATGATCTAGTGAGTTGTGAGTTTTAAATATAACTGTGATCTTGTTTTTAATGATTCTCTCTTGTCTGTCCTAAGACCTAGAAACCTAGCTTGCTGAGCAGGACTGATGAAAAGATACATTAATTCATAGACAGCACACCGGCATGTTTTCTGTTTATTCTGGCTTCTCTCTTTCACATTTAGCTGAATGCTTCAGATGACCGAGGGATAGACATCGTTCGGGGGCCAATCCTGAGCTTTGCTAGCACAAGGACAATATTTAAGTAAGAATTCTTTGCATAATTTCTCTCCCTAAAGATTCTGATCAGTGAGATGATAGAGTTTAATCTTTTAAATCTTCTCTTTTGCCAGTTTGTAAAGGTTAAAAAAAAAAGACTTGGTCAAAAGCAGCCATGAAAAAGAGATAAAGTACAGGAATATTATCTAAGAAATAGATAATATTATCTAGTAAGAAATATTATCTAAATCTATATTAGCAGGTTCTCTGGGGAAGCATTAATTTCTTTTTATTGGTTAACTGAGGACTGACTGCATCCTAAGACTGGATGAACTAGTTTGAATTTAAACAAAAATGATTTGAAATCAGGGTGCATTACTAGCATGAGGATGGTGGTGAAAAAAAGAAAAAGATAGGTTTAAGTGAAGTTGGTGGGGAAAAGCAGCACTAAAATAATAGGTTGTTGTGCAGAAGAAAGATGAAGGCGCCAGAGGACACAGTGTAACAGAAATACAGAAATTAGACCTCCCTTCCCTTTAGGACATGAAGGAGTGATGAGGCATTTGCTCTGTGTGACCACAGACATCTGCTTTGGTCAGAGTTCTAGAAGAAATGAACTTTATGAGAAAGGGCTTGATGGCACAAATGTGAAGGTGTAGGTTTGGGCCTGGAAGTTGAAGTGAGATTGAAGAAACCTTTCAGTGGTACCATTTGTTTTCCTAGGAAAGGCTTCAAACTAGTGATCTTGGATGAAGCTGATGCCATGACTCAGGACGCCCAGAACGCCTTGCGGAGAGGTGAGGAGCGCTGCTGTGTCTGGTGTGTTGGCTGAGGAGTGTTTGGAAGGAGAATTAGGACTTTGGATGTGAGATCTGACATGGCTTGTTTTCATTTTCGTTCACCTTCTGGGCCCAGGGAACCTCTGTATACCTTTCACGGTGTATCCTACCTGACGATCTAGACCAAGACCTCTGTGTTGGGGGTTTCCCCTTTCAGTAGCTTAAAGACATAAGCCCTTTGGGGACTGTCAGGTATGACCAGACACTGGTGTTGCATCCTCCTTTTCCACTGGGTTCAATTTCCAGGTTGGGAATTTGTCCTGTTTGATGGGAGGATATGGGAAGTCTTTCATTCCTAAACCACTAGGTAGACCTTCTGCTGTTGGTACCCTTCGATACAAAATAGCCAGGAAAATAATACTGGAAATTTAGTTGCACTCAGAAAGCTGACATTACTTCCCTGCTTGCCAAGTGAGTGCTTCGGCAGGGAAGGGAGCATATCCTGTGATTTGCTGGTTTCGCGGGGCCTGTGCAGTTAGTTTTCAAGGACATTGTTTATCTCTCTAAGACTGTGCCGTAAACAGCTAGGAGGGGAGAATAATCTTTAGTTCTGGGAAGGAGTGGACTGCAGCCCATGTGTAAAAGGAGGAGGACAGTTAGAACATCTTCTGGTCCGAGAGGCTTTGGCAGCCTCTCTTCAGCCTCTTGTTCCATAAGAGTGACTGTCAGTCTGGGCAGATCCCAGTGTGAGAACATTGGTACCTTCAGAATGAAACTGGTGTCATCAGCATCTCTAATGCTCTTGAGAATGAACGCTCTGAGGGTTTGAGACAAGGTCCACTGGGAAGTCTGCAAACGCCACCCTCCGCCCACTAGAAGGCGGAGCACCATCAGTGTGCCAAGTAAAACTTTATGCAAAAGGGCAGGAATACTGGGTTTCAGATCTTAATGGAATGGAATGGCAGGAGTGCCAGAATCCACGGCGAATCATGAAAAAGGAAATGTTTTATACAGTCCTGTGGAGGGGGCATGTTTGTCAGCTTTGGAAAGAGAGCTGTTTGCAGTCCTGACCCTCCAGGGAACACCCTCTCTCATTACAGTAGCATCCCCACTTGTCTGTATTCTTGTTTCCTGTGCCCTTCACGTGACTATGGAAAAGTTCAGGGTTTCTGGGTCCTTTGAAGAATCAGGATGAATGTGAGGTGGTTTTCTTTTCCCTTGCCAGTGATTGAGAAATTCACTGAAAATACCAGATTCTGCCTCATCTGTAACTATCTGTCAAAGATCATCCCTGCCTTGCAGTCCCGGTGTACAAGGTTCCGATTTGGTCCCCTGACTCCCGAACTCATGGCTCCCCGCCTGGAACACGTCGTAGGAGAAGAAAAGTGAGTATACTGAGCAGCAGCGAAAAGGGAGGGCCTCGGGGACAGAGTGTGTGTAGTGTCAGGCGACTGGCTGGCTTACATCTAAAGGTGATACAACATTTGTGAACAACTTAGGGGGAAGCCTTGCACAGGGTACGCCTCACCCTCTGTTCGCCGCCTGGGTACCTCAGACATTCTTCACAAAAGTCATTCGGTTCTTCTCCTGATTCCATCCTCCTCCCCTGGAAGCTGTCCCAATTTCCTCCTCTTCTTTTGTCACTGGGAACTGTGTGCTGCCAAGTCCCTTCTGCTAAGATGCCTCTAGCCTTTTTTGACTAGAAGGGAAAGTACTGAGACATCACCTTCTGTGCAGTCAGGTGCCAAGCAAGTAGCCAGCCTGAGCTGCTGCTTACTTGAAAGGAGGTGCTTTGCTCTTCGGCCGCAGATCTCGGCTAGTGCTCTGTCCTCTCCAGAGAACATAATTCAAAGCCAGTTGCTCAGTGTAGCAATGGTTGGTCCTAAATAAGGGTCTTTCTAGACTTTGAGTAGGCTGTGACTACTAATGTGAGGCCCACATCCCCCGCCCCCAAAAGCCAGAGTGAATTCTGGATCCTGTAGATCAGGAGAGTGTTGTTAACTCTCTCCTTCCCTTTTTTTCTCTCATTGTTTCAAAGCCTTAATCATCCCAGGCCATCTTGTTCCGCTGGTGAACGCTTGTGCTCTCAGGGGCCTCTAACCCCTTCTGCCTCTTTCCTTTCAGAGTTGATATAAGTGAAGACGGGATGAAAGCACTGGTGACTCTTTCCAGTGGCGATATGCGAAGGGCTCTGAACATTTTGCAGGTACGGGACTACCTCAAGCAAATCTTGAGTTGTTGATTCAGAACAGTTGTTCAAGAAAGACATACAGGCAACTGCACGACCGATCTGTTAGTTCAGAAATCTAAAGCTGGTAAGACCTTGATCTCACAAGATGTCAAAGTGTACCCCCACCTTTGTGTTTCGATTAATTGAAAGAATGATGTGTTACAAACAAGGGAAAGATAGGGACGGATTTTGCAGCAGTAACTTAGCCGACAAGCAGCAGCATCCTCTGATGGGGCCAGCTCTTACCAATGTAACAAATACCAGGTTCGACCCTCCTACACTGTTGGTAGGAATTTGGTGCTGCCGCTATGGAAAACAGTATGGAGGTTCCTTAAAAACTAAAAACAAAGTTACCATATGATCTAGCAATCCCACTCGTGGGCATATATCTGGAGAAAACTCTTAATTTAAAAAGATACATGCACCCCAGTGTTCACAGCAGCACTATTGACAATAGCCAAGACATGGAAGCAACCTGCATGTCCACTGACTAGATAAAGATGTGGTATATATACACAGTGGAATACTACTCAGCCATAAAAATGAATAATGCCATTTGCAACATGATGGACCTAGAGAATATCATACTAAGTAAGTCAGACAAATATCATATGACATCACTTATATGTAGAATCTAAAGTATGATACAAAGGAACTTATTTACAAAACAGAAACAGACTCACAGACAGAAAACAAACATGGATACCAAAGGCATGGGGGAGGGATAAATTAGGAGTTTGGGATTAGCCAGATACACCCTACTATATATAAGATAGATGAACAAGTTCCTACAGTATAGCACAGGGAAAGATACTGCATATTCAGTATCTTGTAATAACCTATAGGAAGGGTGGAAGAGTATCTGAAAAAGATCATGCATATAAATGTGAATCACTTTGCTGTATACCTGAAACTAACATAGCATTGTAAATCAACTATGCTTCAATAAAAGACATGTTGACATCCGCCCCCCCCCAAAAAAAACCCCAAAACACAGACGGAGTTCAAGCCGTCCTGTTGCCCACCCGCCTTGCTGCCTCAGCAGTGTTCCCCTGACCTGCCCACTGCGCGGTGGCCGCAGCAGCCTGGTGACTACCCCCTCTGTCTGCACAGAGCACCAGCATGGCCTTTGGGAAGGTGACAGAGGAGACCGTCTACACCTGCACAGGGCACCCACTTAAGTCGGACGTTGCCAGCATTCTGGACTGGATGTTGAATCAGGACTTCACCACGGCCTACAGGAGTATCCTTTCTCTTGTCCTGTAGATGGTTAAGTGCCTGGGGCCTAGGACGTGGCCCCTGGAGCTCAGGCTGCAGCCAGCACCTGCACCCTCCTGGCAAAAGACAACTGGCTGCATGCGACTCCTGTCAGCTTGTCGTGGGAGCGAGCTGCCTGGGTGGGGTGGGTACTAGTCTTTAATGCCTCAGAGGTCTTTCTGAAGGGCCCTGACCTGGGTATGGCTTGACGCCACTTCACCCACAGATGGGAGAGAAGCAGTTAGGGCCTGGAAGGAAGGTGCAGTCATTTTTAGGCAGTCAGTGGTACTCTTGTCTCACTATGAAATTAAGATCTAGGTGTAGTGATGTAAAGCCTTTTGGGGAATTCATTTGATTCTGTTCTCTCTTGGTTCTCAGAAGGCCCTCATTGGAGATGAAAACATGAGAAAAATAAGAATTGGGGTCCAACACGTACAGATTCAGATTGAAAGAAACAGCTGCGTTGGGATGAAAAGCCCTACTTTTTTCAAAAGTCACTCCCCAGGGTTTGGATTCAAAATTCTGTGTGGTGTGTTTGTTCTGGAACTTGTTCCATTTGCCTTGACTGCTCCCCTCTAGATATTATGGAGTTGAAAACTCTGAAGGGCTTGGCATTACACGATATCCTGACGGAGATACACTTGTTTGTGCACAGAGGTAACTCACACCACTCCCTAGGTCAGAAGCTGTGCAGGAGGCAGCACATGCTGGGGTCCAGGGTGGTCGGAGAGGGATGCTTAGGTTCACTTTGGAAGCAAAGAAACGAGAATGAAGAGGTATAAACCTGAGCCCTCATTCCTAGTTTTATTTTGCTATTTAAAACCTAGTTCCAAAAACACTCTTTTGACCTGTAGAATGCTGGAGAAAAAGGAATTCCTGAAGGCTAACATTTCCTCCAGGGGTTTGTACTTTACAGCAGTAAGTAGTATATTTTAATTCGTATTTCTAAGAGGTTATTTTCCCCAAAAGCAGAGCTGGAGAAGGAAGATGTACCTTCACGTAAACCAGAGCAGTCTCAACTAAACCACCTTAAGTTCCACACTTGGTCGTATCTTCTGTACAGAAAATTGGTTCTCAAGCTTGGCAGCACACACGAATCACCCCAGACCAGTTCAGCTGGCCCTCTGGGGAAGAACCAGACAAGAGTTCTCCAAGTGATCTGTGGCTCAGCCTATAGGAGCAGCTCTTTCCCCCGCGCCCCCCCCCCCCGACTGCCACCTGCAGACGGTCGGGCCCATGAATGTTGGTTCCGCTGCTGCCTTTACAGGCCTCTCCCTGGCTGGCCGGCTGGCGTGTTAAATTCTGCCCAAGAAAAGGGCTGGCTTGAGCCCAGCTCTGCACTTTGTAGACGTTGAGCATGAATTGACTTTTAAAAATCAGTTATTTGTTTTTAAAATTGGAACAAGTGACAACTTTGAAGTTACCAGAGCCACCCAGTTACTAAGAGGGCAGTGTTGATGGCTCTGCCATCTTCCTATGGTCACTGTGGAATATGCTTGGGGGGGGGCACCCTATGAAGACACAAAATGGCGTGGGTAAAAACTGTGAAAACCCATACACTTCTCACTTCCTTAGAGGTGTGCTATCTTGAGATCAGTGAGCTCAAAAGAAGTTTTAGTATCATCTAATGTTGAAACTCATACGTGTCTTCTGTGATTTTTTTTTCAGTAGTAGGTAGTTACAGACCCCACTCACTTGGCTTTTGTTTTTTCCCCAGTTGACTTTCCATCTTCAGTTCGAATACATTTATTGACCAAAATGGCAGACATTGAGTAAGTATTTATTTCCCAATTTTAATTCTTCTCCTTTGTTGTGAGTCTTTTGTTTCTACTTGCTTGCTTTCAACTGTTGTGTCCAAATCATTTATACAGTATATGTAGTGCAGTCTCGTCTTTGGTGGGATTATCAGGCAGTCTGGGAAGGGGTGTGAGCTGCTGATTTAGGGTTCAGACGGATCAGCACGAGCACAGGGACAGCTCAGCTGCGTGTCTGAGGCGAAGGCCTCTCCTCAGGCCCCAGAGGCGTGGCGCCCCTTGGGTCTGGATGTGCTCTGCTTACTTGGGAGGCCTGCTTCAGCTCAGACATCTAGGTCCTTTGGGACGACCAGCTGTCCCGCTGTTACTAAGGCATTTTGGCATACGAAGCACATTGCGGGGAAAGTAAACATAAACCCAGTTTCCCACTTTGCCTGGTTCAGTAAACACAGTTATGAGCCCCCAGTGAAGCCGGCAGCTGTCATTTCAGTAGACAAAAGCGCTGGGTTCAAAACAGACGTCCACAGAAGCCAGCTCTAATCTGCCATCACTGGCTTTCACACATACCAGTTAGGTCACCGCTTCCCGTCACGCTGGGAGTAGCGTGGCTGTGCTTTCAGTGGCTGGGCACTTAAAGGGGGCAAGGTCAGAGGTCAGACACCACTGTCCTGCTTTACTGACTAGACCACAGAACCACCCATACGCCAGCCACACTTGCAGGATTAAGAGGAAGGAAATCTTACAGTTCCTCTCAGTGCATTTTGCGGGTCAAGAAATAGTCCTTAATCACATAAATTCTGCATATCCACATAGAGCTCAAACAAAGTTAAGTTCAGAACACTACTACTGGTAGCAGTTTTTTTTTAATTTAATTTTTCCTCCCGAACTGGAATCAAATTTATAAATGAATCTTTGAGGCAGTGAAGAAAATGTTAGGGGAGACACACAAGACTGCTGTTTGGGATAAATTTTTATTACCTCCTTCCTGTCCTCCTGCAGCTGAATTGCAGTTTGCTATTGTTCTCTCGTCAAAATGCAGCTGTGGTGGTATTTTCTCCTCTTACCTTTCGTTTGATTTCTTTCAGGTACAGACTGTCTGTCGGCACCAACGAGAAGATTCAGCTGAGTTCCCTCATTGCCGCTTTTCAAGTCACCAGAGACCTGATTGTCGCAGAGGCCTAGGTGCTGAGGACGATTTCACTGCCAGTCCTCAGGCCCAGCAATGACTGGAGAGCAGGGGACTCCGTTACGGATGAACTGCTGCCTGGGCTGGGGGACAAAGCACCCCCAACCCCCCACCTCCGTTTTGGAAAATTGTTCCAAGCATGGTTGGCAGACATTTAAACAAGTACCATGTTTGTGGCTGTTTGGAGCAGGATGTACAAAACAATTTTAATGTCCAGCTCTTACTGCACGGCTTGTTTGTGTTTTATAAGGGGGGGTGGGGGCAGCAAAACCCTGTTTCAGCCTGAAGGCTTTTACCCTTGAATTGCTTGGACGATGGGAAATTGACCTGCCCCATTTGGAACATCAGGCTTTCAGATCTAATATGGTCCAAGTGTCCTCCAACTCCGGGTAAACAGAACAGCTCCAGAATTAACTTTGTGAATCTAATCTGTGGCACTGTCTCTACATAGGGGTTAATGGGTTTCTGGTCCACGCTATTATACTCTTATAAAACAGACTCAATTTCCTTACTTTAAAAATTGGTCTTTTTATTTCTCCTTTTGAAGTAGGAGAGGTGCTAGCAAGTTCCTAACTGGCGGTGACAGTAGAGGAGACTTTCATTTTAAATGATGCCATTGGGGTCACTGGTTGTCCAACACGGACCTGTTGCACCCAGGGCACATGAGATTAAGCCTGACTGCAAACCTGCAACTGGTGAAAGGATTAGGACTCGTGTACGACTGTAGCAGTGTATAAACCACCCGAGCGTCTGTGCTGCATTTGTGATAGCGTTCTTCACAGTAAAGGTAAAGCCGCTTCCCTGCCGTGTTACAAGGGACTCTGCTTAGTTACACAGACGATGACCTGTTTAACTTGCATTTACATGAAAAAGCCTCCTCCATCTCTGATATCACAGAACCAACTTTCTTTGGAGGCAGTCCTTTATAAAGATACCCAGATCTTGTACTATCAAAAGGGAGAAACTGGTTATGCCCTGCACTCACGTAGGACTCGCTGCCAAAGGACAACAGCAAAGTTTGGAGCTAATGGCCAAGGGGGGCCTCACGGCAGCTGCCCAAGGCTCCAAGGCTGTGCTGTACGTGGTAGTTCTGGTATTTCAAACGACAGATTAAAATTGGGCCCAATCCATTCCCTAGCTGTCTCGTACTCACTTGTTCTAAAAGGTGGGGTTTTTTTTTTCTTAATGGAAAAAATGAAACGACGAGCCAAAAGCTTTTAACTTTTTTTCCTTCAATGAAAGCCTCTCATCTTGAAATGTTTTTCTTCAGCAACAAAGGCAGCAAAGGAGAGACTCCCCTATTTTTTCAACACACTTTATGACGGTACACAGGCCTCCATAAAGCACCTAGCAAGAAAGCCAAAGGATGAGATAACTGCATTTCTTTTAAAATAATTTAAAATATATTAAATTTTCCAAAGGCAGGTTTTGTTTGAATGAGGTGTCTTGATTAGGTAACTATGCCACTGAGGGGGAACAGTACTGTGAAGGAGCTCGTTTTGTACAGGGTAGAGTTGACACTGGCTGATTAGTCCAATGAGGTGAAGCAGTGAAGTCAGATCTCGTACATAAGAAAATCAGCTGAAGTGGCGACACCACTCTTTTCACAAGTAAGAAGAGACATGTTCACGACTGTTGGGATTTAAGTACTGTGGTTTTTAGAGACCAGCAAGAAAAACACAGTTGTACCTTAACATCTGTTGAGAAAAATACAAATAAATATGCTAACGAATGGGAAACGACTGACAACTCAGTAGCCATCTGAACGGTCATGCAGTTCAGGAATACGTCCTGTGTAACCTGACATGCCAGTCTGGCGCCTCCCGCACATGCACACCATTGTTTAAAAAAAGAAAAATGCCAATTCTAGTGTCTGTATCAGGAGCACAGCCTCTGATTCACCTGCACGTCAGTGAAGCTACATAATACCTCACACTAGACGGCTCCACGAACACCATCCTGCTGGTCAGAGGGGAGCCAGAGGAAGGAAGGTGCTTGCCAACATCAAAGCCACTCTGACCCAGCAGGAGAAAACTCTCAACAGTGCCTCCTCTGCCTCTGAAACAATGACGGACATGAGGCAGAGGCAACACCCCGTCCAGGGAGTTGACACTTGTCTGCCACTACAGAGAGGCTCTCCGGGTCCAGGTGCTCCTATCAGCAAAAAAACACGAGTAACCGCACTTGAAATCAAAACGACTAGAAAGGGTCCAGCATTGCTGTCTGTCAGCGGACTGAGGACTTAAGGTCCCCGTCATCTATGACTGACTCTCACATGTCACGGAGAAGAGACTCATGGCGAGTCTGCTGGAATCTGGTTTTGCTACATTCTATTCACAATCCCAAAGAGAAATTCTATTTCAATCCAAGACCAGATGTTTGGCCCATTATTCCAGCTACTCCTTTGTCAGGAGATTTATCCTGCTACAAAGAAAAGACTACAGAGAACTGCTTACAAAGTCCTGTACGTGAGGAACTCTTTCATTTTCTTGGGGATCGGCAGTGCTAGCACTTGGTACGTTGTCAGGAAACTTCGCAGGGCTTTCCGGCATAAGTGCTTCAGTGATGAGAGGACCCTAGGAGCTGTCCAGAACTGGACGTGGCCATCCCTTGTCCTGAAATGAAACGGAAGCCAGTGTTAAGACAGACCTTGGAAACATATGTTTTCACTGCAATAGATACTGTTTCTACTCTGACCTGCACAAGCAGGAGACTCTGGAGAGTGAAATGCAACCCAGACCTTGGAAACAGAGCAAAGGCTGTGCTGTGGAATAATGAAGGCTGCTGAGAGGATTAGGGGTGCTTTGATTTTAAAGTGCTCTCTCTGTCAGCACAGCCCCTTATACATCATACTATGGGCTGAACATGACAGGGACGAGTGCCACCTACTGAACCACAGATGTTCCCTGTAAGGTAGTCTATGCTCTAAGTGGTTTCCCGTATAAATTCTGCATCATCATAATATATGCTTCCAGGCAGACTTGGCCAATTAGGTAGCATGAAGTGTAGATCTTTAATTACATTTAGGTTAAATATTAAGAGTAAATAATAACCTGTATTAGCAGAATAGAATATTAGAGCTTTATGTAATCTCAGATTTCCTTAAAGGCTTTCTCATAGGCAAGAAAATTCTAGATGCTTTCTTTCCTTAAAAAGCTACATGGTATACTCAGCAGAAATCGCCACCCATCTGTTCAGCTCACAGATACATACCCTGTGGCAATAACTCCACCATGTGGAAAAAATGTGCAGCAAAGACCATTGGTCATAGGAGCAAACGCAATCGGAGTTTTCATTTCGAGGGCCCAGATCCTGAGGAGCCTGGAGGAGAAGGTACGAGCGCGCGTTAGCAGACCTGGGGCCAGACCCCGCAGGTAACCTGCAATTACAGCTGCTCTGAGGCTGCACAAAGAGGCCTCTCTTCATTACCTGTCATCCGCCACTGTGGCGAGGTACAAGCCTTCGGGAGAGAAGCACACAGATCTCAGGGAGCTAATGTGGACATCAGTGTCATCCATGGCGGGGCTGAGCTGGGTGTGGCTGAGGAGGAAGAAACAAGACTGCAGGCAGGCCTGGAGTGAGGGCCACCCTCCACCCTCCACCTTCCGCCCCAGGCAGGAGGCCGAACGGCCACGGCCACGGCAAGGTTCCAGACACATCTTGTAGCCCACAAGTTAAACCTTGGGATTTGCAGCCGGGTAAAGAAGACCGGACAGAAGCGCATTTCATGCAGCTCCAAGTGTCTTGTGATGGGGGCTGAAGGGTTACGAACGCTCCCTGTGCTGATTTCCTTATGCAAAGTAGGTCAGCCCTCACTTTAATGCCACAGGACAAACTGAAAGTCTTTTTTAGGCTAAGATACATGATAATTATAGGACTACCTATTATTTGCTTCAGAAAACAACAGAGACCAAGGGGGAAAGGAGACCAAGTTGGTGAGAACACGAAAATTCACTTTGGAAATAACAGTTTCGATGAGAGGATCATTCTGAACTTGTTACTACAGTTATTAGTAAACGGAAAGAAAGAGTCACTGTGAGGTTTCATAACGCTGAATCCAAAGCAGTACCCACAGCCTCCCATACCAGGAGCCTTGAAGGCATTCCGTCTAATCTGAGAACTTATCTGACAACGAGACACTGCTGCACACCACTGCCTGAGAATAAACGTGAACACACCATGTCCTTTCACCCAGGTTGTCCCCTCCCACGTCCTGGGCCGAGACAGGTTTCTCAGCGGTCGCCCCACCAGGAAGTCGTGAGCAGGGCAGCTGTCCTTACTAGAGTGACCTCAGCCTCTCGCCAGTATAGGGGTCCCACATGATCACACTGGTGTCGTAAGAAGCCGTGACAAGCAAGGCCGAGTCGGGGGAGAAGTCACAAGAGACGACGCTGCTTTGGTGGCCCTCTAGCTTCCGGATTAATGTGTAGGACCGCATGCTCCATAGGAAGACCTGTGGAAAGTAACAGGCGCCTGGTCAGGGGCAGAAACGACGTGCTCGGGACATGAACAGTGAGTGGAAGGCACGCTGCGCCTCTCCAGGCCCCACGGCCGGGGGACGCCAAGTTCTCCACTCCCCTTTTCTGTGTCTTCTTCCAGAACGTATGTATCACATAGGTTTCGATAAGTGAACAGGTCTGGATTCTTGAGGCACCCAACTAATGGGCATGCTCAAAGTGCTGGCTTTAGGGGAGAAGAAACCAATGACCTCGGCAGGCGGCCTGCCAGCATGTATCAGCAGAGGCTTCTGGGCCCTCTCAGCAAGCAGGGCAATCTGTGCTGAAGACCTCAGCCAAGGGCTACCTCGGCCTTTCACTTAAAGCCAAAATTAGGGGCCAGAAGTGAACCCCAGGGCAACCAACAAAGCCATTTTACACCCCTCTTTTGTTCACAGGAGCAGAGAAATCCGCCCCACAACTGTAGGTCTGACCCAGCTCATTACTTTACACCTTTCTGAGAATCATTAAAAGAAGGATTTTATTTTCTTTCAAGAAAACTCTTACTTTCACATAGTTGCAAACCTCAAATCAATGATTAACTACTTGCGCTGTACCAAATAGTGAACTCTTAACTTTATCAAGTCAGTCACAGCAAACAACAGCTCGACACAGATACAAAGCTCAAACAAACTGCTCCCAATGGTAGCCGGGTTTCTAATACTTCTCTTATAATAGACAGTATTTCAGGACGAAGTTCAACAAGGAACTGTGCATTCTATGACTTGAAATGAAAATTCCAATTAGGTGGACTCAAATTAGACGGTTCAAAGGAAACGTGGATCTACATGTGGACTGCAACTTTTAAAATCTGAGATTCCAAGGGGAAAAAGAAATTTTAAAAGCACCGCTTTCCCATTCTATGAAGGCAAACAGCCCTCCGACAACGGGAGCGATCTACTTTCAAACACCTCCTCTTGTGGGGTTCGTGTCAAAGTGCAAGTCAAAAGAGAGGCATGCAGTGGGGCCCGGGCCAGCAGCGGGCCTTCCGTGGAGTGAGCTGCAGATGGGCTCTGAGGACCCTGGCTCATTCACCCTCTGACACACACAAGGCCGTTTCAGACTTCCCTGTCTCGCTGAACTGAGGCAACAGGGCAAACGGCACCCCACGGTTAGGACTCACCGACTTCTCTCCAGCCGCAGAACACAGCATGCTGCAGTCTGGCGAGATGGAGCAGCAGTAAACCCACTGCAGGTGGCCCGATAACACCTGGATCTGTTTACCTGGCAGAGAAACGAAGCAAACGGTGAGCCAACTCTCAAAACCACAAAGCAGGAAGACTGAAGAACTGGTGGGAGTGGCCCCCACCCACCCACTCTATCCACCGGTTCTCTGTCAGCTGAGCCCAAAGGCCCACTCTTTTAATGCAGAGAAAGAAATATAACAGGATTTGTCTTTTAAACACCTGGAACCTGTTAATAGGATATTCTAATGCCCAAGGAAATCATCACCCACAGCTTCACCAAGATCCACAAGGTCAGCAGGGTAAAGGCTGTCCACAGATCAGGATTGCCAAATCCCTCCAATTGCACACAACATTCTCTTCAGGTCCCCCAACCACCTCAATTACTCTGGAGCACCTTCCAAATTTGGGAGAGTGTTAATCTTTAATTCTCTGTCGTTTACTCTCTGTAGTGGTTCCCCGAGTCACAAGGATCCCACCCTCACCCTCCTCCCACTTCACCAGGATGTCGGGATGAGCAGCGGTGCGGGGTAATTAGGGCCACATGCTCCGGAGGCAGGCAAACTCGGGTTTGAACCCTGGATCCGCTGTTTACTCTGCATATAACCCTGGGTCACTCACGTAATCTCTCCAGGTCTCCAGTTTTGGATAAAACTAAATGCCCATCACAGAGAAACAGATGACTAAAGGCTCGTAGTCCACTGTTAATTCAGATGAAATTAAGGGACTAGATTTTCCATGGAGTACTATCTAATAAAAAAGCAATATGATTCCATTTTTTTTTAAACAATGATTCCAAAAGCCATAAATGTGAAAGTATGAGTGTCTGAATAGGATTATACACGTACAGAGGAAAATATGGAAGACTCTTAGCATGGGCTACAAGACTGGAGGGGGATTACAGAGGAATGCAACAGAGGGGAGGATGAGAAAGTTCAGGGGGAGAAGCCAAAACAAAAGGGGGAAGAATGCACACAGTCATACAGATGCATTTATGAATTCACGTGTATGTGTCGGTATGTATAAATAATAGGTATTTATTTTTATATATAAAAATACATATTTTTGCCCCCCTCCCTGGGTAGTTGTAAGTGAGTAAATTAAGGCAGGGTGTGCAGGCAGGGCCTGGGACCCAAGAACATGTATTCACTTCCCTCCACTCCTTGAAAAGCCCTAACATCGGCCAGTCCACCCCGCGCAGTCCCCTTCAGCTAGTCCTCCCTTCCCAACAGCCATGCGATTTTCAAAACTTCAAGGACCTGCCTCAGGTGGTGGCAAGTGGCCTCTGGACCAATCATCACAAACGGTGCCGCCTTGGAGAAGCCTTCCCAGCCAGCAGGCCTGCCTTCCACTGTGACAAGTTCCACGGCAATGGGCAGAAGCTACCCAGAGTTCTCTGTGGGACTAGGCGCCTTCAGAGGAGGACTCCACAGGCATCTGTCTCCTTAGCTGTCTGACAAGCTATCAGGCTCATTTCTAAGAGGACACAGACAGGTCCCCTCTCACGGCTGTGAGAGCTGCAACAGTCAAGCTTGGACTCTGCATTCCCAGGGACGAGTGTGCCCGTCACGAACTGCCCACATCGCCATTTCCTCCTTCCACCTCTTCTGCACCTGCGTCCCTGCCCACCTGAGGGAGAAGTGGCCTGGTAACAAATTCCCCTTCCCTGTGTCACCTTTCCTGCTAAGGATCAACACGAGAGACATGTGGAATTCTTTATCAGGCCACTCCTGGATACAGTCCTGCTTAAAATGCATGAAAGCTGACACACCCCCTCCCCCACCCCGGCCTGGGAGAATTCTTCTATACGTAGATTCTACTTTACGAAGAAACTTTATTTCTAACAGGAAATACTCAACATAGCCGACTTATTCTAGACCAGCAGTTCTCAACCCCAGAGAGACTTTGACCTCGATGTGGACACTGGGGGATGTCTGGAGACATTTGTCATTGTCACAACTGGAGAGGGTGCTACAGGCATCTAACGGGTAAGAGGCCAGGGATACTGCTCAACATCCTAGAAGCACAGGATGGCACATAACAGAGCTACCCAGCCCAAAAGGTCACAGCCGAGAAAGCCTATTCTACATCAAGTATTTTCAATAGGGCTGAAAACTGGGTCTTGACGGCCAGAAACACGTTTTATATACAAAGCATAGATATGTTATTCAGAACAGGAACAGACATACAGTATATGTTTGGTATGAAAATCTCCTGGGTGGTGAGGGGAGGGTTACTAGGAAAAAAATGTCTAAAAAGTCTCCACAGGAGGCAGTAATAGAAGAAAGGTTGAGAAACACTGTTGTACAAAAAGGACATTGATCAAGTAGAGAGAGGGGCAAATACAGCATTTTTGGAATTGCCGAGTTGTTCCATGACCTCCATACCATGTTTATTCAGGTCCCAGATGCGAAGAGTCTTATCCCGAGACGCAGAGACCAAAATCAAATTGCCACTGGGCGTGAAGCTCAGATCTCTCACGACGTCTTGGTGGCCCGAGAGGTTCAGGAGCAGGAGCCCTGGTGTGGGAGAGGAGCACTCAGTCAGTGGGAGAGGTGGCACCACCAGCCAGTTACGGCCACAACCCTCGGCCAACTGGGGGCTATCAGAAGGTGCACACAAGCCTCCGGGGCCTGGTCCCAGCCAGGAGTGACCTACCTGTCTGTACCTCCCAAATCTTGATCTGCCCATCGTTGAGCCCCGTAGCAAGGATTAGGCAGGAGACGTCCGGCACCTGGGGATGGCGGCGCGCCCAGAGCTTCCTGCCAGGTGGAGAAGGCCACGGGCTGAAGGCCAGACCCCAGACAATCTGCCCACAATCCAGCGTCTTCTCCTTTGGGCTCCCTCGCCCCTTTGTATCATTTTTGCTGCTTCGGCTTTTGGCTTCAAATGCTTTAGGGATGCTGGGGAAAGCAGAGAGTTCTTAATGAGTTTGAAACTGCCATCAAGTCAACCAACTCTTCATTCTGGGGTATCTAAGCTTTTAAAGTCCTAGAAACAAACTGGCCTTCAGTGAATTGTAGTATGACTTTTGTTTTTATTTCTTTTCAGAATTCACATAACAGAGACTTCACTGGCCGTGGCTCATCTCACTGGTGACAGCCCTGCAGTGGGGTGACCTGCCTTGTGGGATAATTAGATCACAGATGCTCCTGAGAACCAGTCACGTCTCAGAAAGCTCTCCCGGGTTTTGGTGCATGGAAGGAAAGATGTTCCCAGGAGAAGCAAGCACACGGTAGGTCTGGAAGGAACTAGGACAGAGCTTAGAGCCTGAACATCCATCTGCTGCTCTCCTGCCTGATGACCGCCCCCTTATCACCAGCTCAGAAAGCCCCCAATAAGCAGGACAATAAACCCCTTTCCGGCCACCAGTTTGCTTAGTACACACCGATTTCCACCTTCACTCACTTTGTTCCAATCAATGAACGAGGCTCTTTCATTTACTTCTCTGATGGTACATCCAGCCCAGGAACCAACCAGCAGAGCAGTCAAGGGGAGAACGCACAGCTGTTCAGGGGCACGCTGACCTGAAAGATCCTGCAGCCCGACCCTTTCCTCTGACATTCTACTTAAGCAGAACCACAGGCCCAGACAAGCTAAATGAGACCCAGTCCCTAAGAAACAGGGCCCTGCCCACCGCTCTGCCTCTCAGACAACCTCTCAAAGGCACGAGCAATTAAACAGCCCTGGAGTTCGGCCAGCCAACTCGAAGTTTCCTGTCTGCGGTACACTTTATCAGTGCAAGTATTTGGTCTCATTTTCTACATGGGACTCTGACCACACTCTAGGGTTTATCAAACTGGGGGAAATGGTGATGATAAAGCTGGAATTCATTTCCATGAAAAACCCTACAGTCAATGCAGATGTAGTTGAACTTCTTTATGTATGACATTCGCTCCCGAAAGGTTGTAAGTAAATCACATTTTTGTCAACTGTGTGGTTGGAATACATTTAAGAATTTTAACCAAGCTCACCTATAGAACTAGAAGGGAGACACTGAGTCTAATGGAGGCTCCTTCAGCTCTAAAACCCTCCCAGTCTAAACCAGAGGTTGGCGAAGCGTGCCCAGGCGGGGCCGTTCTGTAACGAGGTCTCACTGGAGCCCCTCGCTCACCTGGGGCATCGCCCCGAGGGCTGCTTCCACAACCCAGCAGCAGCCTTGACGAGGCCTGACAGAGACACACCGCCCGCAAAGCCGAAAATACTTACTATCTGGGCCCTCATAGAAAAAGTTTCCCGACACCAAGTTGAAATGGCCAAACGTGACTTGAAAATTTGTCATTGTGACAAAATAGCTGAATGTGACGGTGTCTTTTCAGTGAGGCCCGGGCAGCG